AGGTAAGGGAGGCAAACAGAAAAGTGAAAGGTATGTCAACTTGCAGAAGAATACATTTCTAAGAATGCAATGTGAGTACACATCGTCATGAAGGCTTCACAGGTCTACATACCTGCCACATCTGCAACAGAATTTGTAGCAATATCTGGAACTTCATTTGCAGGTACAGGGATTTTGTCAGATTGCGTTGGTTTCTGTGCTTGAAATACCACTCGACCAAGTGATCTAATATAATTGGAAGGTACTAAACCAACTTTCACACCATCAACAGACGCAAGCAACCAACTCTGATTCTGCTGGCAATCTTTGGGTGCAATAAGAACTTTCTGTCCAGCACGTAACGACAATTCTTGTGATGATGCAGCAACAAAATCATAGAGAGCAACAGCTGAATGTCCGGCTTCTTTACACTTGGACCAATCCCGAGGATTGTAAGCTGTAAGATACACAATCAGTAGGAGTAGCACTGAAAATTTTCTAAAATCAAATAATTGGAGATGCTTACGATCTATGTTGGGAATATCTATAGAACTAAGAAGTTTCCACATCAAGTAAGGTCCACTCAAGATAATTCCAAGGAACACCATAACTGGCCATGATGTTCTCTTGCTCTCGGAATCCACACTACCTCCAGCAACTGCTTGTGAAGCCTGGCGCCAAAGCTGCTCACGACCAGGATCATCAGGACGCAAACCTAGGTAAAAAGAATATTCAGTGTACTTTTTTACAAAACATTCAGTATCTTGTCAATTTTCAATGTCTAAAACCTTACCTAAAAGATACAAACACTTCTTATACAACCACTGCAACCATCTGAAAACTGCAAAAACTGAAAGAAACTGTCCAAACATTGCACGAAGACGACCAAAATTTTCAGCAACACCAAGAACTGCTCTGAACGAGCTGTACATAGCATTGAAAGTGGATTCTAGCATGAAGCTTACTGATCCAAAAGCTTGTACCAAAGATTCAATTGATTGGAAAGCAGGTCTTGAACCATCTTCGGCCATTCGAATAAATCTTAAAACAAAAAGTTATGTAAGTATTGATGAAAAAAATATAAATCAACATGTTAATACAGCAAATAAAATTATTTACCTGCTTTCTGGTAGTGAATGTGGGAAGCCCATCCTATTAATTCCATACCCTCCAAAACTGCTATAGTTGCCATAGTTACCGTAATTCCCAAAACTGTTGTAACCATAATTATTAAGTCCAGAACCATAACCTCCATAAGAACTAAAAGGGGAAGAAAAATAACTAGAGGTGCCGTAACCTGCACCAAATCCATTTTGATAAGGCTGTCTTGATGGACGAGGTGGAGGTGGTGGTGGATTTCTCTGATTAGCTCTTACAAAAGTGGTTCCTGGTGGATAAGATCCCACATTTGATGCAGAGCTCTGAAGGCCATCACTATTGGAATAAAAATAAATGTAAGCATTCTCAATTCGCTTCAAATCGGCAATGTTTAACTTAAAAAAAACTCAAAAGAATATACTTGACTTAAAAAGATTGCAAGTTAAGTACATCACATAATCTTTGGACTTGTGAACTTTGGCATCAAGCATTAATACAATACCTGTTGGAAATTGGATGGAGAGCTCGCTGATTCACGGGACCAGTTTCCCACGGTTTTTGAGGCGGAAGCATTGTATTAGCAATCAAAATAACATAAGCATAATATACCAAATGAGGTTTTCGTTAAAAAACTTAACAACTACTGAGCACCTTCTCCGACCACTGTCAAAGTTTTCGACACAACTGCCGTCCTTCAAAACATGAAAAACGCACGTTCACCTTGTATTAAACACACGATGTTCTCTTATGTCACACACTTCAAAAATATTTTGAAGTTAAAGCTCTTGTGTTATAAAAATGCAGCTACCAGAGTTTCAACCACTTATTTACAAAAATTGCACTCGGTATATTCACGCACCAGCAAGTAAGCACTGTCCACAGCAATAAACAGTAGCAATGCTGTGCAATCCTGCAAACTACCAAGAACTTTGCACATTACATGAATGACACGACTCTACCGCGGATCCCACTCTCCCCTCTCTCCCGATCCCACCAGCAACATCTGAACAGGTTCAGCCAAGTTCATTGGTGTACATGGTGCATGGTGGGGAATTGGGAGGGATAAGGGGCGGGACATATTCATGTGGGAAATCATCGTCAGATGGAGCCGCGATCGGGAGGGCGTTGAAACCAGAGATAAACATATTTCATTCTCTCAGTGTATTACAAAACAGCACGATACAGCTGATGCATCTGAGACGATGGAAAGATGAAAGGAGGATCTGAACAATTTATAATGAACAATAAAGGTAATGTAATGTCATGTCATGATCAAGGGACACATTTTGTTGTGAATAAATTGCTTGTAAATGGATATAATTTGACCAAGAAACTTTCTTGCAGAATTGTCAACCTTCCATGACTAATAAAGTCATGTATATTAATAACTGAAACGATTTTAAGACATTAAAACCTTTCCAAAGATTAATTCAGAAAGAAAATTATTATATTTTCTGGAGTTGATAATTTATTAACATGCTGTAAGAAATTTTATATTTTGGATAGCTATGGATGAAGTGCTATTCCATGCTTCAGAAAGTGTTGAAGCCTTACAAGTATGTAGACATTGTATTAAATGACACCTGAATATAATAGAACTATTTCAAATGATGAGAATTTAGCCATTGTGTATTGCTTTGACAACTATTTAATGCAAATGACTCAATTTTTGTAGGTACAATTGCTTTCAAGATTTCAACAAGGACGAGAACTCCTTCTTGGCTATGCAGAACATTTAAATAATTTGACCAATACTCCTGTTGCCCAACAGTTACAAAATACATATAATCAAGCATGGATTGTTATCCAGCGTTTTTTAAATGAAATTAAAGATGTTGCTGGGAAAATAAGTAATCCTCAACAGTTTCTTTCCAGAATTCTTCCAATACTAGGATTTGATGGTAGTGTGTAATTTTGTCACTTATAATATTGAATCAGATTTTTTAAGCATCATTATATATTACTTCAAAAGATTGTGTGTGTGTGTGTGTGTGTGTGTGTGTGGGGGGGGCTGTTCACATAAGCAATAAAATTGGTTTTTGCTATCAGGTGTGTGAAGAAATGTATGCTTAATGTTTTGAAATGTTTATCATATTCTTGAACTCCTAATTGTCGAATATTGAGAAAACTCTTTTTATTCTACTCATTAATTATAAATTACATAGTTACCACTCGTTTAGATACATAATTATTACCACACAATAACAAATATCAATACAACACATGTGATATAAAGAAAAATATGTATTGACATGCCCTGTAGTTCTTAATGATGACAATTAGCCTCAGGATATTTTTGAATAAATAAATAATAAAATAATGATTACTGTACCTATTGATCATTCTGACTTTTTTATTCACATCTATTCTTTAAATTTTTCTTAAAGTACTGAATCACTTCTCTCTGCTTTCTTCATTTAATAGTAATAGAAGATCTACAATAAATGTATTCTGTTTCTAAATCTGACCATGTACAAATGGTTCTTCTGGTTATAATTCTGGAAATATTGGATATCTATCATATGATGTTCTTATAATGCACATAATATATATTAGTAGATTAAAATTAAAAATGAGTGTTCTAGCTTATTCTTAATTGACTAAGGAAAAAAAGGGGGTTAATACATTTCTTTAATAATTATTTCTTATTTTAATGATATCTAAGAAAGAACAGCTACTCCTTATCCACTAATACAGCCATTTTATTTTTGCAGCATTAATTGCTCTATGATTAATGATATTTAATTATCTAAAATTTAATGGCTTTTAGAAACTGTTCCTGAAATGTTTGCAGTAAATAAATTTGGCTGGTGTTAATATTCGTTTGCAGGTCCAAGCATCAGTGTCTATTATGGCTCAGTGGGATTTCTGTTAGGAGTTGGTGTTGGAGTACTAGTTGGTCTATCTTGTCGTCGTCAGCCTCCTGCAGTACAGAAAATGTGTGCAATTGTGTGTACCAGTTATGCTGGTGTAGATGTAAGTTTTATGCAATTGTTTTTGGAAAATGTTTTGCTCATTTTATGCATTTACAGTAAAAATGCATAAAAACAGCCAGGTCATGTAATAGAGAAAGAAAATAATTGATTTGAATTGTTGGTATGACATAGCAGATTATTATTAAATGTTATGTGATTGTATTATACCATCAGAAAATAGCTACCTACAATATACTTTCAGATTCATGGCTAACACACATACCTTTCACTGCTATGGCCCAGGTTCAATCTCCAGTGAATGCATGGGGAATTTGTGGTTGGCAAATTTAAATACGAAATATAAGAAATTTTGTGTTTTTAGCACTATCAGCCAAACTAATGGCTGTGCTTTCAGGTGTTGGAGTGCTTTGGGAACTTGTTAAGAACATAAATTGACTTTTTAATAATTTAAAGAGAATTTCTTTCATTAAGAAAAATTTTATCATTCTGTCATTACATGTGTTTCTGTATGGCATTCAAGACATGTGTTGTACAAAATAACATTTTTTCCTGTATAAAGTAATTTTAGTAGGCCAGGGCTTTTTTTTTTTTATTTATTTATTTTACATTATAAAGGACTAGTTGAACAAAACATTATTGAAATAGCATTAGTAATCATGGAGTGTTTGTTTCTTATATTTTTGTTTGTTGTAAAGAATTTACATTTGTTCTTTTAGAGAATTTTGGTAATTGTATCTTTATTTTAGGCAGTAACGGCTTCAGAAGACATTCATTGCCCTCAAATTCATAATTCCGATGAGGTAATGGTTCAAGTGAAGGCAGCATCTGTAGACCCTGTGGATGTCAATATTTGTTCAGGCTATGGTCGTGTTCTAAGACGGCATCTAGGTCGATATAATGCTGTAAGTTTCATGTTCATATTGCATTTCTTATTTGAGAATATGAATTATGATTTAGAGAAAGGTAGAGATGTGTAATAGGTGTTGATCATTTTCAGAACGTGGTTGGAGAATTTCCTGTTATTCTTGGACGTGATTGTGCTGGTGTGGTTGTTGAAATAGGTCAAAAAGTGAATAATTTTGAATTGGGTGATGAAGTATGGTTTTCTGTCCCATATTGGGCGAGTGGTGTTCTTGCTGAATATGTGGTTGTGAAACAAAACTTACTGGCCCACAAACCTAAAGGGATAACTTTTGAAGTTGCTGCGTCTCTTCCTTACTCTGGAATGCTGGCATGGGATGCTATGGTTCACCAGGCTGGTTTGAATTCTAAAACCTGTCGTGGTAGACGGTAGGTAATATTTAATTTTTAATTTAATGCTTCTTATTTTGCATGTATGATTGATTTTTACTTTTATTGCTTTTTTCAGTCAAAATTATTATTTTAATCCCTGGATACAATTTATATTGTTTTAAAGATGCATAGTTTCTTGACTTCTGAAGTTCACTATCACCTTCTTGTTGAATAAATCTTTTTAACACCACTTCCTGTATTTTGAATATTAATGGTTTTGCCAGCAAGTTTAATTAACTCATTGAATTAGCATGATAAAATTATTACAAACTTAATTTTGATTTTATCTTCATTGGCCTCCTAGTTTAGAAATATTATTTCTGTTGCAAAGGAGGAAAAAACGGGAAAGCATTTATAATTAAACACTCCCACCACCACTGGGAAAAACAATCTATGCTAAATAATTTTGAGTGTTATGGTTGCAAAATAAAGTTCAGATAATTATTAAAATAATAATCTAATTTTATGGTGTTGCATATTATCTAATAATATATTATATATTTTTATTACATTTACAACATTCTCTGATATCCAAAAACTAAAATAAAAATGTGCAATAATTTTTTTAATTCTTTTTTTTATAGGGTTCTTGTTCATACTGGTTGCAGTGCTATAGGATGTTTGTTGGTACAGCTAGCTCACCTGTGGGGTGCTCATGTGACAGTCACATGTCCTCTGCGTGCCACCCCAGTTGCCCAAGCTCTTGGGGCTGATTGCATAATTGTTTGTGGAGAGGGTGGTGACATTGAAAAGCAGCTGCTACAAACTGATCTGTAAGTAATACGAATAAACGTGAGATTTGTTAAGTATGAATGACCTTTTGTTATATATTGAACTACTCCTTTTTTACAGATTTGATGTGGTTTTTAATACAGTAGGGAAGAATGCACATGAAATGTGCCTTAAATTCTGCCGAGATGATGGCCGTGTCATTACAACAATTGCTGCATCTCTACCGTCGGATACATATGGCTTCTTTATAGGCATTTTATATTCTTTGTTTGTGAAGATGAGATGTTTGACATGGGTATGAAGTGTCATTTCTTTTAATTATAGAGTACTACTAGAGGGGGACATAAACATAGAACGTAGGTGGAGGGAAGCAGTTTTTGTCAATTAACTCTTGGTTTAAGAAGCAGGTGTTCTGCGTAGGCTATGACAAGAAAACATGCCTCATTCCCCTGTATGATTTGAATGTATGTCAGCATACTTGTAACATGAACTCAGATCATGTTGGGTACCATAATTCTTGGAGATCCGTAAATTACATAACACTAAAGAAGTGGGGGAAGGGGGGTTTTAGACAGCACTACGCTGCATTACATGGAAGTAGGGCGGTAGTTTAGGGATTCGTAATGCTACTCCCCCCCCAACATTTGCTGAAATTATTCCTTTTGTTCAGTTTTTTATTAGAATATTAACAAATTTAAGTAAAACATTAAGAAGTATAAATGGTAATAAATGGAAATATTTTTTCATCATTGAATTATCAATG